CAGCTCGACGTCTCGGAGTCCGCCGGCGCGCCCGGCGCGTCGGAGAGCGACAGGCCGTCGGAGTCGCCGCGGTGCCGCGGCTCCGGCGGCCAGGTGATGGCCTCCGCCGGGAGGCCGATGTCGTCGAGCGAGATCGGCTCGTCGCCGCCGAAGGGATCCTCCGCCGCGGGCGCGGGCGGCGCCGCGGGCGCCGCCGCGGGCGGCGCGCTCGGCGCCGCGGGTGGCGCCTCGCCCGCGGCGAGGAGCGCCGCGTTGAGCTCGACGCCGGCCGTGGCGAAGTAGGGCAGCCGCGCGGCGTCGGCCGCGTACGCGTTGGACCAGAGCGACAGGAGCTTCCGCGCGCCGTCGCGGAGCTCCGAGGGCTCCCTCGCCGTCGCCAGGGCGACCATGACGGCGGAGAACTTCTTGCCCCCGGGCCCCGCGCCGCAGGCCGCGCGCGCGTTCGCCTTGCTCTTGACCAGAAGGCCCGCGAGGCCGCACGCGAGCAGCGCCACGGCCTGGTCGCGGCCCTGGAGCCGCTTGCGCAGGTGGCGCACGCCCTCGCTCGCGACGCTCGGGCCCGCGGCGTCGAAGAGGCCCTGGACGGCGCCGAACGTCGCCGGCGCCGACGGCGGCGTCGTCGCGACGTCGATGCACTTGCACAGCGTCGCCGCCGCCGCCTTCTCCGGCTTGCTCAGCGCCGGGGCGCCGGACCGCGCAGAGCTGCGGAACATTTTTCGTGGACGGCCCGGCGACGCGAGCAATGCGACGCGGTGTGGTGGGTGCTTGTTGTCGGGGCGCGCGCGGTATGCGGCGCGTCCCAGGCCGCCAGGCGTCGAGGAGCTCGATGAGATTCTTCTCGACCTCAGCGCCGGCATCATCAAAAGGCTTTTACTCCTACGGCAGAGCTCTCCCCATGACGGCACTTCCCTTTCGACGGCTAGTGGTTCTCTCGACGTGCGTGAGCTAAGTCGAGTTCGTCTCAAAAGCGACTGCCCTCGGCTGCCCTCGGGTGGTGGCCCAGTGGCGAGCTCGGATGTGCTAGCTATTCATTCTTGCGTCAGAACCATCTCTTTATACACTGATGCCTCTCTCGCTGTCGCTCGTTCGGGGCTACGCCAAAGTTGAAGTAAATTTGAAGTAAAGTTGAAGTTCAATATTTTTGCCCCTTTGTTCCCAAATGACAAAACCCCAAAGCATCAAAAAAAGATTTGCCCCTTTGTTCCCAAATGACAAAACCCCAAAGCATCAAAAAAAGATTTGCCCCTTTGTTCCCAAAGCATCAAAAAAAGATTTGCCCCCCCTTTATTCCCAAATGGGTTGCATTTTGGACCTTCTTTTAATTTTTTTTATGAAAAGGCAACGATGTTGGACGGCACTGGACTGAGCGACCGAAGGTCGTGAGGGAAGCGGGGATGGTCCAACGAGGCGTACACCTTCGAGCTCACCGCCAGCTCGGTCTCGCTCGTCATCCCCCCCACGCCTGCTCCGACGCCCGCGCCCACGCCGGTGCCGACGCCCGCGCCGGTGGCGGCTGGTTCGATCGACAGCTACGGTGGTGCCGTGGCCTACGCGTCGGACGGCACCTACTGCTACAAGGTCGTCATCGGCGATGGCGTGGCGTACGGCGGGGGCGAGATCATCCAGAACACGGGCGCCAGCAGCGGCTGCGAGTCCGTCGACTACACGGTGGGTGGCACGAACGTGTACGCCATCGGCTTCTACGCGTCGACGTCCGGGGACGACCAGAACTACGACGACGGCGACTACTGCTCTGCGATCTCGGGCTCTCGCACCGCGCTCCTCTCCCTCGTGGTCGACGACTCTGCGACGGAGCAGACCCTCGTCTCCGCCGAGCCGTCGACGTGCTACTACACCTTCGAGCTCACCGCCAGCTCGGTCTCGCTCGTCATTCCCCCGGCCTGCTCCGACGCCCGCGCCCACGCCGGTGCCGACGCCCGCGCCCACGCCGGCGCCTTCGCTCGTGCCGACCCCGACC